ATAATATTTTTATATAAAAAAGTATTAAAGGATATTTTTATTAAATAATTATTAAAGTTTATAAAGGATTTAAATATAATTTATAAATTTAAAAAAGCTTTTTATAAATTTAAATAAATACCTTATATATAGTATAAAATGTTAATTATATTTTTAAAAAGCTTTAAATTTAATAATTTAAATTTAAATATTAAAGTTTTTATTTAAGGAAATTATTATATTATTATTTATATTAATAACCTTTTAATTATTAAATTTAAAATGTTAAAAATTATAAAGATTAAATAAATATTAAGTAATAAATTCTAAATAAATAACTTAAGCTTTATTAAATATTATTTAAAAATAGTTATTAAATAAAACTATAAAGTATATACTTTAAAGTTATTATAAAAGGTTTATTTAAAAAAAATACTTATAAAATTTAAATTTTAAGATTTAAATAAATTAAAATATTAAAAATTAAAGCTAATTTATACCCCTTTATTTATTAAAATAAAAGTATTTAAAAATAACTTTATTTTAAATTTAAATAATCGAAAATAGTATTAAAGGGCTATAAGTTTATTAATATATATAATATTAAATATTTAATTTAATATAATATTTACTATTTTTAAATATAATAAATATATAATTAAACCTAATACTTTTTATATTAAAGTAGTAAAATAAATATTTAAATACTTTAACTTTATAATTAATTTAAAATTAATATATAAAAGAGGTAAAATTAAGTTATAAAGCTTTATTAATTTAAATTAAAAAGTATATAAGGAAATTTATTAATTAACTTTAAGGTATATATTTAATTTAGGGAATAATATTATTAATTAAAATTTAAAAAGGTAGTTAATAGTTTTATTATCCTTATTTAAAGCTAAATTAAAAAGGTAAACTTAAATTATTAAAAAAGCTATTTAAATATAAAAACTATTAATTAAATTAAATATTAATTTAAATAATATATTTATAATTATTTATAATAATAATTAAAAAGTAATTTTAGCTTTATATAACCTATTATTATATAATAAAAGGAAATATATATTAATTTAAAATTAATAATATTAAGAATAAGTTGCTATTGGAAAAGTTAATTTTAAATATATTTTAACTATTAATTAAATAATAAATAGGTTAATAAAAGTATTATTAAAGCTAACCTTTAAAAAGTTTAAAAAATTATTAAGCTTAAAATAAATAATAAAATTAAAATAGTTTATATATAAAGTTAAATAAAAATTCTATATTAAAATTAACTTAAATTAAAATACTTTTATTATTATATTTTTTAATAATAATAAATAATATAGAAATTATCTTTATAATTTAAAAATATAAAATTTAAATTATTAAAAATTAAATTATAAAATAAATATAAATTTAAAAAAACCATTAATAATAATTTAAAAAAAGTTTAAAATAAAATTATAAAGTATTTTAAAATAATATTTTAAAAAGTAAAATAATAAATATTATTAATTAATTTAAATTAAATTTTTTAAATACTTATATATTTAAATATAATAAAATTAACCTTTAAAAAATACCTTTAATAATATAATAATAATAAACTATTAACTTTTTAAAGTTACTTTAAATTAACTTTACCTATAAATAATAAAATATATATTTATTTACGCTTTATATCCTTTATTAAAGCTTTTTAATATTAATAATATTTAAAATATTATAAAAGCAATTAATATAATAATATAATAATAAAGGCTATTTTAAAAGAGTTTTAATTAATTATAAAACTAAATAGTTTAATTATAATAACTTTATTTATTATACCTATAATAGGTTTATTAATTAAATAAAAGGTAAAAAATAAAATTTAATATACTTTTAATATTATTATAATAAAAAAAAAAGTTAAAAAGGAAAATATATAGTAATTTAAAATTATAACCTTTATAATTAATTAAAAAAAGGTATAAAAGTTAAAAAAGCTTTATAAAGTTTTTAAAGGTTAACTTATAATTATTTTAAAATAAAGTTAATAAGCTTAATAATTTAATATAATATAAATTAATAGTAAAATAAATAAAAAAAGTATATATATTACTTTATAAAAAGAATTAAAATATAATATAAAATAAATAATATACCCTTTTTAAAAACTTAAAACTTATAAATTATAAGTTATTTATAATTTATACCCTAATAAAAATATTAATTATTAAAAAAAGCAATTATAAAAATATATATAAATAATATAAAAATAAAAGGGGGAAAAAGGATATTTATAAAAATATTTATATTTATATAAAAATAATAAATATATAATATATTATAGCTATTATATATTATAATGCTTTAATTTTAAAAGCTTTATATTATAAATAGTAATTTAAAAGTAATATTAATAGAACTTTTACCCTTTATAGTACTTTATTTTAAGGAATTTAATATTACTTTTATTTACTATTTTAATAGTTATAGATAACTTAACTTTTAAAAGAGTTTTACTTTATTTATTTTATTTTAACGGGTATCTTTTAAAATATTACCTTTATATTATTTAATATAACTATTTAACTTATTTTAAAGGGAGCTACCTTTAAAAGGAAGTCGATTAAAATTTATAGCATTAACTAATATAAAGATCGAAAGGGAATATTAAAAAGGGAAGGCGGTAATACTTACGTTCCACATATTGGAATGCTAGGAATCTATATATAAGACCTTCATCCAGCCAAAATAACTATATTGAAACTTAAACTTCTAGATAATCTAATGGGATCACATGTACTACTCTTGACATTCTGATAAGTAATAACAAATAGATGGCGGGGTACAAATCAACACTTTCAAGTGTCTTCATCGGAAAGCGTACTCACATAATTCGCCTTTACATATAGCCAATGATGCTATCCAGAGGAGTTACTGACTCTTATAATGTCGCTAGACACATAGAAGCGACGATCTAAAGCTAACATACGATCGCGTGTCCCTAAGAAAAGAGCCTCTTCGAGCGCCCGGCTTAATACTCGATGTTTTTCTTACAGCTTGTCTTCAGGGACTTCCTGACATACTAGACACGCCGCGCATGGAGGCGGCTTTCCGAAAGCGTTCGCAATCTTCAAAAAGGAGAAACAAACGATTCAAAGTTACTTACCCGCACACTAGCTCCAGAGTCACAAACCAGGGACATAGGGGGGCCATGTGACCTAACCTTTCTTTCCAATATCACCATCAACTCAAATCGGAACATAGAGAACGTTCAGCTAAGTAGGCCCCGCTATGGGTTCAGGGCAGATAATTGGGCGCCCAGCTAACTCTTCGTGTCCTCAATTAAGCCACGCGGAATATATGCATTTCGCCCCCAATATTTGTAACCATAAGTGATCTAGTCCCATCCACTACCCTTTCCATACCGCTTACTTCCATATTAGCTCATATAATTCAAATGTGGAATGGTTATCACAGGAAGTAGTTACTCTTAGTACCTCACTTAGTAGAGAATCTCTTGTTACCTCGTATTAGCTTTCACGGTATTTTCATAGCGTGATCAACTATATAATGATGTTCGGAATGGCAAATTATTAACCATTTATGCCTTGAACCACCAAATCACTCCATGGATTATATTGTGCGGTTCTATCGGGGCGCCAATCCAATGTTAACGCCAAGGGCTCACCAATCCAAGCTAATCTTAGTTGTATGCATGGTGATTCACAATTAGTATAAGTAGTCATGGCGCAAATATGGGAAAACCTATTTTTGAATATTAGCACAAGGGTACGCTTACGCAAGGGCTTCTTAGCTTGTAGAACAAGATCTACTATCGCCTTACCACTCTCCCACTCCTTAGTTGCTCCCCCTTTATTGATCTATTTAGAACCCCACGATGATATTTGTGATTATTTTGGTTGTTTCTATGGTAGCGATCCTGGGGATTGCCCGATGGGTTACTTGGGTCCTCGTGAACATAGAAAACAAATATGATAACGCTGGCAGGATTCTAGATTTGAAGGACCTAGCTTCTAAAAACGAAGTGGCTTCCGCTCTTTTTAGATTAGTCAGCGAAGATGGAGCAGGGCTTTGGCCTCCTAGAGCTGCTCATAACCGTCTGCCCTCTTGTTTTCAACCATACCAGGATATTTACTTGGAACTTATACCCAACCTTTCAACAGCTATCCCCGCCCTTGACGATGATATCAATAAACAGCGAATAGAGGAATTTCGACACAAAATGAGCAGGCTACTATGTGAGCGGGTCAATATCCTAGAAGTCAAGCATGTTTTAGAACGATTCAAACTCGAGGGTAGTCGATCTTTAACGCAAGAGATATATAATGCTGTGTACTGCTGTGTGGCTGTTTGTCGTCATGCCTACCGGTACGTTTTTTATTAGACTTCACTCAGTTGCTGTAATCTATTATTCGCCTAACCATGGATCAGATGGGGCACTATTCCAGTTGTCAAACAAGCACAGAATGAGATCATGCTAGACTTTCCTATGGAGCTCAATGTCCCCTGGTCTTATCTCCAGAGGCACTTTGAACTGAGTGGGGAGAGCGGCAACATGACATCCAATATCTTACTTAACTTCGATCAATGTGGAAAAAGATTCTACAAAGTTAATATTACCGATTCATACAAAATCGCTACGGCCGAGGATATATTCTCACGTATCTTCTTTAACATCGAAGTGCTAGTAAGTAGAATCCAATACCACCTAGTAAGCTGCAGTTAGATCGGATCTTACGTTCTCTTAGGCGTTCCCGATATACTACGAGATAGCATTGGCTACCACCGCGTTTGCAGATCAACGGAAAAAAGGGTGTATAAGGCACGTTAAAAACATTGCTAAACAAATCAAAAAGCTACTTCCTATTTTCTTTGATAACCTGAGAGACTCTAAAATAGCTCATGCTGTTTGGCTGAGCCACGTACAAGGGTTTCAGGCTTGGGGGGTTGGAAGAATTGTGAATGGCAAGTTTGAGAAGCATGACGGCTTATCAGGCAACCAGCTTCTCTTCTTCAGCACCATCGACGCCTTTTTGGACCTCGACCGGTATTTGTCAGATGAGAACATGGAACGGTATATCCCTGTTAACCAGCGACGGCTCTCCCTAGCAATCAAAAACCACTCTTTCCGCCACAAGTTGGACGACGGCGATGTAGAACTCAAGAAATACTTTAAGAATATTGCCAATTACATGAGAGTAAGTCACCTATATCGTCTCACTCGGATCAGGCTGATCGGTCGCCCAAGATGTTCCGTTCAGCACATAGATCGCGAGCAAGACCTTACTTGGAACACCCTGCGCCTGAACGCTTGATTATGACGGCAGGCAAGTCCGTTCTTGAGACCCCAAAGACAAAAGGTTTCGATGATGCCTACAAGCCACTTGATGACATGTTGATGGCACAACTTCAGTTAACAGTATGACGCTGTGAGAGGGTGTGGTGTGACGATCCTTGTGGTGCTGACCCATGGGATGTGATGAATTCGAGTTCACCAAAGGTCGACTCCTAGCTTATGATCATATTATTACTAGTGATTAAGTAATATGATCGAGTGTGCTGCTGACGGCACTATGGATTGAATGCAATAATCACATAGAATTGATCGCAGTGCCTAATTCTCTTTCAGTCTTATGATTGATGTAAATTACCCGCCCCAAAATACACCATACCTAGCCAAAACTTCCACCAAATTTTACCATGTTTCGAACACCAGGTCGTCCGTAGAGGATCTCGTCCACACATGCAAGCCTCTTTTATCCGCCATTAAGCCACGCATGATCGCATGGGTAGACGGCATTGGTGTTGCAGACACAACGTCTTCGCACATCTCCTCTCTTCATAGTCAGACCTACGACATACGGATATCCTTGCCCATAGGAACCACCTTGAGGTCATTCGTTATTTAGTTTGTAAATTACATTCGCACGATAAGGTAGACCACTATTCATCGGAATCAATCCATGAAGGGAGATTCCAAGAGGGAAAGTATGGACGCGGCCTCTCAATTTTGATCTCAAGCTGTCTTCCATTGCTATTTTTGACTGCTTTGACAACCACCATGATTCCTACATGAGTGTATTTAGCTTCTAGCTGCTCTTGTTGTTCCTTGTCGAATTGATTCTTCTCAAGCAACAGATCTCTAAGGACGTAATTCTTAGGCCAAATGGATCGCTCTTCACTCGGGCTAGAGTCCACTATCCCAGATATCCTAGGCCAGAGAAAGGATTGCTCTGTCCAGACAAATGCTTTGTTGGAGCCATCTCTCGCGTCGAGCCCCCAGGCTACCAAGGCTTTGAATGAGCAATAATGTCTTCGGTGGCTAGTCTCCCAAGAAGATGCATCGACTTGAAATAAACAATACGCCAGATATGCCGGGTCGTCTATAGCCCATATTAACTCATCGAAACTTCTCTCTACTAAAGATGTTGCAGAGTCTCTTTGCGGACGGGGTAGATAGCTTATCTTCTTGGTATTTACCGGAAGCCTCAGTGTTACTGCAACTTCTGACTCGAGGAATAGGGGAACTGCCTCTCTTGGGGATACAAACTTTCTGACATTTAGAGCTTGAACGCTTAGTTTCTTAGTCGTGTATTGATCCATCTTGTAAAGCCTCGAGTAGATATGGCGGACAAATTGGTCGCCTATCTGAGCAAGGTATATTCCAACAGGTCTTGGGTTTTGCACTCCCTTGAGTTCCTGGTGAAAACAGTCCAACAATAAGATACTTCGTCGTGTATTGGGACAATAGATAAGGGCTTTATCAAATGTTAGCCCGTTGTTAGTAACCCTGAAGCCAATGTCTCTCCTACGGCTGGGTGGAAACCGTGTTAAACCGCGACAGGCGGAAAACTCTGCAGGTGATATTGCAAAGAGGCCGCGGTACGGGTAGTGGAAACTTGGTGCCTTCAACGATACCCAAGCGAAAATTGAGAGATCGTCTGTGGTTTTGCAGATTTCTTCCTGCAGTCTAATGAAAGCATTCGTTCCTTCGCCATATAACATTGGCATGTATACGCCAAAAATACCTAGTAGACAGTACGCTAGGTCTTCCGATCGCGAAGTCTCCCTTTTTGAACACCATGACATTCGAACCGCAATAGGATAATCTTCAAGCGGCCGTGACCCCATGAGAGCTTGCATGTCGATTCCGGTAATCTTTGAGAGCGGATATTTCAATGATTCCTTAGTTCCCCTTAGATTCCATTGGTTGTCGTAGAATAGAACACTGCGAGGCGCAAGAAGTTCTTGGAGCGTCCAGCCTCGGGTAAACCATCGACAATTTGGGAGGTGAAGTTCTGTCCAGGAGCTATCCTCCATTGATCCATCCGAGGAATCCTGAGAGACCTCCCCATGTAAAAGATCCAGCCCACCCTTAGAGAGTTTCTCTGCGCCGTTCTTGATCAAGTGACGGTTGATTTGGAGCTTATCAGGAGCATTCCCACCTTCTGGTGGCAGATCTGACAAGTAGACACAACATATGGCAGCATTCTGGTACCATCGGAACATTGAATTGATGGCCTCGCTCAGTTCGGCGCTGCTCGTTTTATCAATACAGCAAGTGTCGACCCAGGCCCATTCAAGCGTGGCTTTTCGGGCTAAGCGGCAGGTCTCTTCAATCTTAGAGAATCCCTTCTTAGTACGCGCGAACCTGAGATCCCGGAAGTCCTGGAACGTAACTTCGCCATCTTCCCAAGTGTGTGACAGGATCATATATTCGTTTGGCGGCTCAGATGAGTGAAAGACCAACTCAAGCTTGCATGTATTTATAAGCCACATTGTTGGTAATTTGATCCTAGCCGTGATATCTGACCCTAGATTGCAGCTACTAGTTTTGAATGACGGTCGCGTTTCTTCGTTTCTTCAAGACTGCTTACGGGTTGCCGACGCCACCTTAACGTCTCAGCCTGGCGACAAGGTATAGCTGAGTGACACTACCCCGCCATATGCAATAACACTTATGAGATATGAAGTTTCTGGGTCGCCTGTGCATGAAGCTGCCGTTATTGAATGTAGAAAACCCCGTCTTACTCGATGATGTCAAAATTTCGAGTAAGATTAACTACAGCGACGAGCGGTAATATTCGCATGGAACAGCAAGGAATACTCGACTACCTAAAAGCTGATGGAGGGGCTGATGGGAAGACTGATCAGATGCGCAAATCATTCATGGCTTTATCTTGCTGTTTTTAAAAAAAATCTGTTCGTCGAGTCTGAAATCCATAGAAAAGCGATTCACAACTTGTTGAGATTATACCTCTCCCTGGTTAGAGGTGAGATGAGTATTGAAATTAAGGCTGTAGTTGAGATTAACCAGCTTAAATCTTAGGTAGGCCGACACCTTCCAGCATCAGGAACACTCTGTCACGTCGCGTAATAAATCATACTTAAAGAACTCAGATGATTATATGAGCTCTAACTCAAATTCCGATCTAATATCTGCCGTCATCTTCCTATATAGGGGCTCAAAATCTACTTTAACGCAAAAAGAATTAGACTCATGACAACTAACCAGGGATATAACATGTATTTATAATGATTTTCACTCAAAATTCACGACTTGAGCTTGAAGTGCTCCCCAGCTGGGCCCAACAAAGGTCAGGGAACGGAGCAACAAGAGCAAGACTATTTTGATGAGAACGGCGGCAAGGGATATCACAGCAAGCTGTATACAATTGCATTGCTAGCCGTGGTCAAGTTTAAGCTAGAAGCGTCAATTACGTCCTTCGTATATTACAAGACGATACGGCAGTTTCACCAATAAGCAAGACGTAGCAGATGACTCCCAAGGATAACTACTGAGACTATACGAGCGGTTGTTACACGGAGGGCACTTAGCCCGGAAGGTTTCCGCGAGGGTCCCACACGTTAAATACGATCAAAGGCCGCCGGCAACTACTTTACTATGTCTGGGCGAGGCTATACAGCTCCTACAAGCTATACTACATTAGCATCACCCTAAGTCTATTCTCAAGTCTACATCGACCGCCGTCGGTACGCCGGGCAAGCAGAATACCGCAACACGTGTCAAACTATCATTCTCCGTACCATACTGTGCGTACCCGGCGGACACGGGCACCAACGTCGGAGTTGACGATGCATGGATCCGTCTCGTTTATGCATTTGTCTGCCTGCCTTCCCTCATCTATCTGCGCTACTCGCGGCCAAGGGGTTTGCGTGATCACTTTAGCTGATACGAACCCAAAAGTGCATTCTATCAGCAACCACGGCTACATACGGTTTTCCTATATCGGTCCCGACGGCATGGCCACGGTGTGGTCTTCACGGCCCGGGTGTGGCGCGGTCGCCGAGCTTATATGGGGAATGGTTTCTATCTGAGTCTCTGTCTATAGGTATTCCTTCTGCACGGATGAGACTACCTACTATAATCCACAGTTCAAACACGTGGAAGTCTAGCATAGCGTACCATATGGCATAATGGCATGGTGATATCCTTGCCTTCCTTGCCTGTAAGTCTATGATAGATATCTGCTAACCACAAAGGGGCATAAAGCAAAACACGTCAACCGGCAAAAGATACTTGTTCTCGAGCGGCTACTTACACAGAAGACGATGCACTAGCTAGGAGTAGTGCTATCCTAAGTCTGCTAGAGGAATGCAGACAGGATTCTAGTATTCCCCCAAAAAGTGCCGCCGCTGTGGCGGCGCCTGACCACCCATTCGCGTTCCAGAAAGCGTGGGTTAGTTGCATTGCGCTACTCTAGATCAGACCCGTCAATCTATATACTAAGAATACAGCCACAGGCAATTGCGGTAGTGTTTATCAGGGCTTAGTAAGGCTATTATGAGCTAAGCGACTTAGTAAGAAAGTAGTTGTCTGTAGGTAGCTATTTGAGGTGTACAGATATTGGGGGTTGCAGTTACAGTCTGACATGCAAAAAAGATGGGATGAATTTGCGCTCGTAAACGCTAGGAGAATGCGGATTACCTCACCCTGTTTAATAATACGCCCAGGTGATGAGTATATCGGCGAGAGATATTACTATCTGCGAGGCTTACTTACCTTGTTCTTGATATTCATGGACTCTTTGATACGGGGCACTTTTGTTGCCCGCGTTGCGTTTGTACGCCATCGTGAAGATAAGTGCTGGCGCGGGGTCGAGAAGCTAGTCAAGCAGCACGGCATGGGTTTTCCGCGCCCGAGTTTGCGGGTGCGGTGCCCTGTTCTGCCCGCGGTATGGCGGCCTTGATCCGGCAAACGAAGGAATACGCATGGAAGGATCTCCGGCATGAAGTATGGGTGACATACACATGTGATCTTGCACTTGTTGGGCGCGAAGGTCAAGCAGAGAAGAAAAAAGCAAAGCAAGGGCTTGACACCATCATCAGGAAGATTTGCCCGGCTTGTATCAGCATCTCGTCCTGATTGCAGAGTTGTTTCTTATTTTTGTTTCTTCCTCTGCAGGACAGATGTAACCCCTCCTTTTACAGATGCAAAAAGGGCGACGACCATGTTACCACACCTATGGCTACGATTGGTGGAAGTTCTTGGGGTTTAGCTCTCTTCGTCTTAGTACCTTTTTGACTCAATCTTCACTTGTTTCTGCCCCCTGGCTGCGCACCACCGATGATGATGACATGCATGATCAAAAGGGGATATGACATGTATTATGTACGGTAGCGTAGGGATCAGATGAGGGGTCGTGGTCTCGGCTGGGCAGACCTTGCGCCCAGCGTCATTGTGTGGCTTTTTGAAATCCCATTTCCCCTCTTTTCTGTTTCAAAGAGAACGATACTCTGGAATTTGGTGAAGAATTTCAGTATGCATGCATGTCTGTGCATCTAGGTAGGACAAATTTTCAGTTGCATATTTCATCACTTAAGTTTCAAGTTTAGCAAGAATGTCGCACTGAAAGTTGTGTGATAGTTTACGTTTTCATCTGTCCCAATTTAGTTCGTAGTTCAGAACAAATTCTACCAAAGATAAGTGCCCTGATGGATATCTTGGAGGGCTGGTCGAGAACTAACTTCATTGGCCCAGATTAGTTGGCCGCCTTTACCGTTGCCGTACCAGTTGAACATCTGTTCAGGCTCCCGAATTAGAAGCGGAAGCCAGCGGGAGGCTGGGAAAGGTCCGCCTACTTACTATGTAGCAATCCACATGTATACTACTACACTAGTAGGTCGGCAGTGTACTTTTCGGCGGTTGAGGTGCATCGCATGCATGTTGCATGCGTTTCCGTAACCCGGGAGGCGAAGTAGGCTATATGATTCAACCTTTTAGCCTTACAATCCACAGTTGAGGTTGAACTTGAAGTTGAACATGATCTACCTAATCCCTCCAGCCTCTCTATCTGGCCCCCAAAGTGAAGATCAGGGCAAAAGGCGAAACAGAAAAAGGAAAATGAAACGAGGGAATAAGAAGGAAACGAAAAAACGGCTGGTAAGAACTAACATTGCTCCATGTTCGCATCCCACACACGATTCGCTGCCGGCTGACGTTGGCCAGCCATGGCACGCACAGCATCCACTTGCATACCTACCTACTACCTGCCTGCCTGCCTGCGCTGAGCAATCGTTCTACATACAGTAGTGATGCATACTATCATATGGTTACATATATGCTGCTATTTTGATACGATGACGTGCGACTATAGGATGGCCGGGGTGACATGGTTGGGAAGAAAGATGGCTGCGTCTGCATATCGGTGAAACAGTAACACCAGACATACTCACACAGATACCTATAGTAGCAGTCATTCTTTGGTCCAGGCCCTCCTCATTCTCACAGCTTTATTGAGAGGGCACTTTGCTCGGGGCCCTTGATTGGCAATACAGGCGCCTTGTCAGCCTCTTCCGTGGCACCCAGCCGTATCTGCCGCGGCGCATGAGCAATACTGCAGGTAGTCTAAGTAAGCTGTGATACCCGATCCCCAACCCAAGTGGGTGGCTGGGAGTCATACGTTATGTCCTGTCCCGTCTCACTGACTCACTGGAATTGAAACCTGTCGCATCGATCAGGTGGAGTCCTAGCGATCAGTCTGGACAGGCTGCGGGCACCCATAGCTATCCGTTATCCGTGTATTGGAGTGCAAGCGTCGACGCCTGGAAGCAAACGTTGCGAAATAAAAAATCTAATATTGACTGATAGTCATTTACGCCCTCGCCCTATCCGGATCCCGGAACCGGTTTTTACGCGCTGCCCCATGCAAGGCACCAGCAATATCTTTGGTCTGGGTGCTGTTGGAAGCATAAGCCCGATGCCAAGATGCCCAAGGGAATCAGAGTAAGACTTTCAGGTGGCCCTGGTTCATTCATAAGCACACCACCATTTGGAAGGGCAAAAAAAAAAAAAAAAAAAAAAAAAAAAAAAAAAAAAAAAAAAAAAAAAAAAAAAAAAAAGGGTGTAAGGAAAAAAGGGCACAGGAAAACAAAAAAAAAAAAAAAAAAACAC